GGCTGTCATTTTTTTTTTTTTTTTTTTAAATACTTATTTCTGGGACTAGCAGTTAGCATAATGGCTATGTTGCAGGACTCTCATGTAGTCGACCGCGGTTCGCATCCTGGACCCGGTGGCTTAAACTCACTCCGGGCGCGTGTGCCCAAGATCCCGAGAGGAGAATGGAGAAGAAGGGATTGCGGCGTGACCATCCCCCTTGGGGGGTGATTTCTCGCTTTTTGTCTCTCTGTCTCTCTCTGTCTGGCGAGCGCACGCGCCCTATAGCAAAAACAAGTACAGAGAGCCTCTTGGGGGCCGGACAGTGACAAGAGGAAGCTAGCACTCGGCCAGGACAGGCACGGGAGGGCTCCGTGTCCGTGCCCAGAGACCTGAGTGTGTTGGCATGCATGCTGTGCCCGTGGCCCAGGGCTGGCCCACACCGAGGGAAGACCGCAGCATCCAGACCCGTTGGGGGCTCCCGTGGAAGGAGCGAGCAAGTAAACTTTAGGGGAAGAGGCGACCCAAACCATCTGTCACTCAGAACAGCGCGGAGGGTGGAGCCCTCGGGCAGAGGTCCAGGCTCTGTTCCCAGGGTTGCGAAGCTCCCTATAGCCTGGCTCTGAGCACACGCGGGCCAGCTACGAGGGCATCCCAGTGGGCAGCATGCACCTGGAGACTGGCAGGAGGGTCTCACCTGTCGGAAACACCCGCGTCCGTCCCCCTCTTCCTCTCGCTCCCTCTGCCAGGCTCACTCGCACTTAAAAGTGATGGCCGCCCGCCCGTCTCTAGAACCTCCGTCTTCCCAACCAGAGCCCACTGGGATCCGCCCGGCTTCTAGAACCTCCTTTTTCCCACCCAGAGCCCACTGGGACGCCCCCTGCCCAGCCCCGTCCCTCTGGCCAGGGCCTGCCCCCAACCGCAGCCCGCTGGGACGCCCCCTGCCCAGCCCCGTCCCTCTGGCCAGGGCCTGCCCTGCATCTGGCGTGCCCGCCCCCACCCGGCCTGTGCGCACACCCCGACTGCCTCTGCCCTTTTCACGGCCAAGCAGCGTTCCCGTGTGGGCCGGCTCCTGCGGCCACGCGAGCCTTGCTGCTGCCGACCAGGACGGGTACGGTTAAGCAACCCACAGGCCGTCCTGTGGGCAGTTGTCCTGAAGGCCCCGCCCCGCTGGGCACTCACAATGGACGTTTGTCCAGAGCGCCAGGAGCCCGTCTGCTCGGAGCACGCCGGCCCTGGGCTGCCGGTTCCCGTGGACACGCGTGTGGTCACCAACATGCAGTGATGGCCCAGTCGCCCTGACAGCTGCCTGGCCCTCGCCATGTCCCCAGGTCCCCAGGCCCCCCTGCCTGAGCCGAAAGCGGGACAGACCCAGTTGTTCAGGTCACGACCAGGTTGGAGGGGGCTGTTTATGAAGCCCGCCTCGCACTGGGTCACTGGGTCTGCGTCCTGTCCCATGGGGTGCAGGCGAACTGCAGGCATTTCCTATTGGAAGTCCCTGAGCAGGGCCCGACGGCTGCCTCCGGGGGGACGGGAAGAATGCATTCCAGGACTCCCCGCAGCTGGCCGGCCATCTTCGGGGCTCCTCCACCAGGCGACCCGTCACCCCGATCTCTGGCTTCTATCCAGGTGGTGGCCTTCCTGGGGTGCCAGTGTCCCCGTGTAGTGAGGACAGAGGTCCTGGGTCAGGGCCACCTGCTCTGGGACTGGTTAATTCCACAGACCTCGTCTCCAGGGCAGGGCGCATTCTGAGGTCCCGGAGGTGAGGGTGTGGACACGGGTTTCGGGGAGACTGGAACAGTGTCAGCAGGTGGACACAACACCGGTGCCGGCTCAGGACGGCGCATGGGGCTGGTCCTGGGCAGGTCGGTCCAGAGGGGAGCACCTGCCTATCTCCTGGGTGAAGTCCGGGGTCTCTGGTTCTGTGACCGTGGTCGCGCTCCGGAAACGGGGCGGGAGCTTGGAGACGTCTGTGGGAGGTTGGAGTTAACCGGCCGGTTACTGGCGCAGACCAGAGCCCTGCTGTTTTCTCGGCGCGTGCTCATCTGCGAGCTTTCTGAGACGTCCGTGTTCCGGAGCGGGTGCCCAGGCAGGTGTGGGGGTCGCGGGAGGTGGCGAGGGGCAGTGCTCGGCCAGGCAGTCTGCACCAGCTCCGCCTCCTGCCTCCGGTCAGCGTGGGACCAGGGACCCACAGGGCGCCCGGCGATAGCCACGGGGCGTTGACCAGCCCCGATCTCGCAGATCTACGCCCGGTTTCTGAGACGTCCGTGTTCCGGAGCGGGTGCCCAGGCAGGTGTGGGGGTCGCGGGAGGTGGCGAGGGGCAGTGCTCGGCCAGGCAGTCTGCACCAGCTCCGCCTCCTGCCTCCGGTCAGCGTGGGACCAGGGACCCACAGGGCGCCCGGCGATAGCCACGGGGCGTTGACCAGCCCCGATCTCGCAGATCTACGCCCGGTGGCGTCCCCGCGGCAGGATGGACAACCGGAAGCGGCTGGCCTACGCCATCGTGCGGTTCCTGCAGGACCAGCTCCGGCACGGGGGCCTCTCGTCCGACGCTCAGGAAAGCCTGGAAGGTACCGGCAGCCCGGCCACTTA